TTTCGTTTAGACGGTGACAATGTTTTTGGGGCTTAAAAACGCAAAAATCTAAAACCATCCTCCAGAGCGGAAAGTAGTAGTGTTTCCGTCTACACTGCCCAAGACGCAAAACTCTGGTCAGATCTGCTCACGTTCGCGTTTACGTCGCATACATCACCACCTAGCGTCACCACCGAGCCGCCTGGCATGTTTACACAATCCAATTCCACACACTTTTGCGTCACCGTATGCACGCAGATTTCCTCCTGAAAACGCTCGTCTAAACGCAGAATACAAACTGAAGACGCGACGCCACTTTTGCGTCTTCTGTTCAGACCGTCATCGTATAAACGTAGCCACAGTCTTTATAAAGAAGTGGACTAAGGGAGTGTGACGTCACCTATAGCATTTGGCTCCAGTGAAATGAAGCTCAGAGAAGCTGGCTGCTATAGGCGAGTTTCATTGTTGACAAAAGCGTGCGTTTGCATGCTGAGAATTATTTTGGTTGGCGACAAGAAACACTAATTCAACATGACGGACGGAGTGAGAAAGCACGTAAAGGGTATTGATCCCGGTTATTTATCCACTCTAACGGCAGAGGACCCAAGACCATTTGACCAGAAATTGGTCATAAGCATCGACGGACGCCAAATCACCCTTTTCAACCCCGACAAAAGGTGGACCAAACCAAATTTCTGGTCAGAATCGTCAACTACCTGGACAAATATTCACTTCGGCGATATCCACAATGACTTGGTGGAAACTCCTGGGCCATTCACAGCAGAAAAGATGAAAACCTCCAAGAGTCTTCGATGTGTTGTTGAACTTGTTGAAGTCCACGGTTTGTTAGGATCTTCTACGTTTGCTCTGTGGATGTTTGAAAGCCATTTAATTCACCGTTAGCGGTTCTTTTCACTCGGAATACGAAAAAGACATTTTCCTTCTTCCGTGCTTTTATTTGTGCATCCGATAATGCAGCAGGAATTTACCATTATCGGGGATAAATACGCGAGGTTACGCACTGTGTTTGACCACTATCGTGTTTCTTGCCTCCGACCAAAATATTTCCCAGCATGCAACGGGGGGGCTTTTAATAACAATGACGTCAGCTGAAACTCGCCCATAGGAGCGAATTTGGAGTTGAGTTCCATATTAGGAATTGGAATCTATTTACAGACAAATGACTGAAAATAGTAGTGAAATCAAGTTGAATTCCATACACTTTTGCGCCACCTTATGCCCGCGGATTTCCTCCTGAAAACGCTCGTCTAAATGCGGAATAAAAAGTAAAGACACAGCGCCACTTTTGCGTCTTCTGTTCACACCGTCATCATATAAACGTAGCCTAAAATATATGAACTAAATCGTGTTCCATCCACCTTCTTCTGCTAATCAGAGGTTGGCGTGGGGACAAAAGTCTCAGCAGGAACTCCTCAGACTTACCTCACCCCAGACACTTCCTCCAGCTCCTCCAGGGGGACACCAAGGCATTCCCAGGCCAGCCCAGAGACATCGTCCTTCCAGTGTGTCCTCGGTCTTCCCTGGGGGCCTCTTTTTGGTGGGACATGCCCGAAACACCTCCCCGGGGAGCCGTCCAAGAAGCACCCGGAACAGATGCCCGAGCCTCAGCTGCTCCTCTGCTCCACCTCTGATTGAGCTTCATTTTGGAAACTCATTTTGACCGCTGTGTCCTTTCGCTCATTACCCAAAGTTCGTGACCGTAGGTGAAGGGAGGAACGCAGACTGAGCAGTACATCGAGAGCTTTGCCTTTAGACTCAGCTCCTTAATATGTGGTGTGACTGGATAAATATATAGTGGCCTATGCGGTATCAGGGATGCTCATTAAACGTCTGTCTCCGCGGAGTCAAGCAGGCGACGCCACCGGGCCAAATTACAAACCAGATCTGAGGAGAGGCAAGCCCGCTCACTGTATGTTTTAGGAGCAAAGAAAACATTCATAATGGAATAAATGCTGACTAGAGTTACTGTAATGTGGAGGCAGTGTTGGGAAGGTGACTTTTAAAATGTATTCCCCTACAGATTACAGATTACATACCCCAGAATGTAGTTTGCAACATAATCCATAAAGTTACTTAAAGTGAGTAATGTAATCTGAATACTTTGGATTACTTGATTTGCTGTAGAGAAGCAAAGACGAGGATATCGTAACATAAGATGTTTTAACTGCTAAAAGAAAATTAAAAGCCCAGACTTTACTTAACCATATTAAAAATATTATAGATAGAAGAGGAGGAGACACGTCCACGCAGCATGATTTAGTCCTGTTAAATCCTAGTTTAGTACTGGTTTAGACCTGGTTTAAACCTGTTTTTAGACCTGGTTTTAGTCCTGGTTTAGACCTGGTTTAGATCTGGTTTAGATCTAATTTAGACCTGGTTTTAGTCCTGGTTTAGTCCTGGTTTAGACCTGGTTTAGATCTAGTTTAGTCCTGGTTTAATCCCGGTTTAGATCTGGTTTAGACCTGGTTTAGACCTGTTTTTAGACCTGGTTTTAGTCCTGGTTTAGACCTGGTTTAGATCTGGTTTAGATCTAATTTAGACCTGGTTTTAGTCCTGGTTTAGTCCTGGTTTAGACCTGGTTTAGATCTAGTTTAGACCTGGTTTTAGACCTGGTTTAGTCCTGGTTTAGACCTGGTTTTAGACCTGGTTTAGTCCTGGTTTAGACCTGGTTTGAGACCTGGTTTTAGTCCTGGTTTAGTCCTGGTTTAGTCCTGGTTTAGACCGGGTTTAGATCTAGTTTAGACCTGGTTTTAGACCTGGTTTAGTCCTGGTTTAGACCTGGTTTTAGACCTGGTTTAGTCCTGGTTTAGACCTGGTTTGAGACCTGGTTTTAGTCCTGGTTTAGTCCTGGTTTAGACCGGGTTTAGATCTAGTTTAGACCTGGTTTTAGTCCTGGTTTAGTCCTGGTTTAGAGCTGGTTTAGATCTAGTTTAGACCTGGTTTTAGACCTGGCTTAGTCCTAGTTTAGATCTGGTTTAGACCTGGGGATTTAGCCCGAAATGTGAAAACAGGAAAATACCACCATGTAATCCATTTATTTCAACAAAGTAACTGTAATCCAATTACCACTCACTGAAACAGTAACTGTAACCGAATACAGTTACTCATAATTTGTACTCTGATTACGTAACTCCAGTACATGTAATCAGTTACTCCCCAACACTGTGAGTGTCAGAACCTCCAAGAGAAATGTTACAGTGCACATTTAAATCAGGTCTTAACGTTATCAAAAAAAAAAAAAAAAAAAAAGCCATATAACGGATTTGGAAACAGGCTCTTGATAAAATGGTTTGCATGGAGTTCATTTGCATCGGTCACATACGTCTATAAAAGCTTGTCATTTCATAATTCTCATGCCGTAAGTCTGTTATCTGTTGCTCTCCCCAGAATCATCCTCCCTTTTATGGTGTGTAGGTCCCATGTGACGGATGTTATTTTCCTATCAGATGTTCAGTGGGTATATTTATTTTCATAGCAAAAACATGCCCATGTAAGGAGTCCGTCTCAGACATACAGGCTGTTTATGACATGACCAAACATAGGATGAGAAATTCACGAGTTGCCGTAAATATTCACGCGATAGTGTCTTTGAAATTGTATAGACAAACATATTGTTACAAATGAGTTATAATCTGGCAACAATAAATGAACGCTAGTCTCTTGATTTATGTAGCTGTAAAATTACCAATCCAGATAGGGCGAAAATGTGTCTGAAAATCCACCGATCGAATTGTAAATCTCAATCTGTAATCGATATAAATGAAGGGTTCTGGTATTGATCACGTTGACAGAAACAAACAAAAACCAAAAACAAGAGAAGGGGAAATAGAACTTTTTATTTTTATTTTTTTCAAACTTAAATGTGTGTCTCCCATTGGTTACATATTTTTTCTGAATTGCTTTTTTTTTTCAGCATTTCTATTTTATTATTATTATTATTATTTAAAGGCCTTATCTGACTTTTTCTATTTATCAGAGTCTTTTCCTAGTGATTAGTATAGGCGAGTTTCACTGTTGACAAAAGCGCGCGTTGCATGCTGGGAATTATTTTGGTCGGCGGCAAGAAACACTAATTCAACATGACGGACGGAGCGAGAAAGCACGTAAAGGGTATTGATCCCGGTTATTTATCCACTCTAACGGCAGAGGACCCAAGACCATTTGACCAGAAATTAGTCACAAGCATCGACGGACGACAAATCACCCTTTTCAACCCCGACAAAAGGTGGACCAAACCAAATTTCTGGTCAGAATCGTCAACTACCTGGACAAATATTCACTTCGGCGATATCCACAATGACTTGGTGGAAACTCCTGGGCCATTCACAGCAGAAAAGATGAAAACCTCCAAGAGTCTCGATGTGTTGTTGAACTTGTTGGAGTCCACGGTTTTCTAGGATCTTCTACGTTTGCTCTGCGGATGTTTGAAAGCCGTTTAATTCACCGTTAGCGGTTCTTTTCACTCAGAATATGAAAAAGACATTTTCCTTCTTCCGTGCTTCTATTTGTGCATCCGATAATGCAGCAGGAATTTACTATTATCGAGGATAAATACGCGAGGTTACGCACTGTGTTTGAGCTATCGTGTTTCTTGCGTCCGACCAAAATGTTTCCCAGCATGCAACGCGGGCTTTTAATAACAATGACGTCACCTTTGTTAGAATCATTTGGATAATTTCAGCCCTGGAATTGTTCATCTCTACTGAACAAATGGTAAAGGTCGCAGAACATTTTGAGCTGTGGAGATGTAGACTAATTAGAAAATGGTTATTCAGACATGTGTGAGTGAAACAAAACACAACTCTGGGTATGTTTTTGAGGATGTACAGGCATTCTAACAAGGCTTGACTAAAGAATACATTTTGTGGACCTTTAAGAGTAAAAATCAGGTACAGCGGTTTTCAGATTGAGGTCAAATTGAGGTCAAATTGTTTACGCGTTCGATAAAGCTGTAAAACTTCAGCATTTATAGAGTTTTCTTCTTCTTTTCTGCGTTTCAGGGGCACGATCGTGAAGGCCCGAGACAAGCTGTACCACCCCGACTGCTTCATGTGTGACGACTGCAACATCAACCTGAAGAAGAGGGGCTACTTCTTCATCGAGGAGAGCCTGTACTGCGAGGCCTGTGCGATGGCGCGCGTCCAGCCACCCGAGGGCTACGACGTGGTGGCCGTGTACCCCAACTCCAAAGTGCAAATCGTCTGAGAGATACACGCGAATAACAAATGTAAATACAGGACCCAGATCTGTCGAACGGGATAAAGGGGGTTTCGTAAAGAGATGTTTGTGATGAAACTTTTTGTTGACCGGGTTCAGATACTACAAGCTTGGTGCAAAGTTCTGCCTTACGTTTGTTTATCATTTATGGTATTGCCAAATTGAAACTCTGAAGTGAAAAAAAAAAAGATGGTCTTCCCAGAAAATTATATGTTTTTTTTTTTCTTTGTTTCTGTAAAATATTATCAGTATAGTGTTAAATTGTAAGGACTTCTAAAAAAAAGGATTTATTCTGGGTCTTTCAGGCTTTTTCAGATTTAAAGTTTCACATTTCTTCTTTTTTAAGTGCATTACAAAAGAAAAACTTAAAGTGCATATGACAGGTTTTCAAATGATTCTAATAAGTTGCAATCTGCTTGAAAAATAAAAGTTGGAAATGCCACGATGTAGCGCTGTGTTCTAAAATCGATCCACAAAATTCCATCCAAAATACAAAGACAATTTTTGCACATTTTTGTCATGAGAATAAAGATGTTGATATTTATTCTTATATAGATATTAATATTTTGTGCAATGTCAGATACAAGCCTTAGCCGTTTTATATGGGATATTAATGGAATTACCGCTACTTATGTGACATGGCAAGACAAGGCAAGTTCATTTGTTGTTATAATGACTGGAGAATCAAGTAAGGCAGACAAAAAGTAAAAACTATTATTTTTGTTATTGTTTATTAATAACAAAAATCCAGGAGAGTCCAGGAGGCAAAGCAAAATCCCGATCTCTTGCTCCACCTCAGCTAGAAATTTAAAAAGTCTACGCCAAAGAGAAAGGCACCAACTGTTCGCCAAGAAACAACTTCCACTGCAAAGCCACAAAGACGTGATGTTGCTGTAAAGCCACAAGAACAAGAAAGTGCTAAGCGAGAAGTGACTTCTGCACTTCTCGCTTAACAAACGGGATCCCAATTTGATGGCTCTCCACATACAAAATGTTCGCTGCAAACTTGGGATGATTTAGGCAGCCAAAAGTTTCCTTTTTGGTTCCTTCCTGTGGATCAATCCTGCCCATCACCTTCACCTTTCACTATTTTTCAATTTCCATTGGGAAGGGAAACAGTTTGAACAGAGGTTTGCAGTCACACTCATCTGATTCCCTTTTGCATTTATGGAGTTCGCAAACAAATTTCTTGAGCCGTTTTCCGCTGTTAGGATCCAACAACCACACAATTAACGATATCTGAATCACAAAACTAAAATATGACAATATCAGAACCAGAAACGAAAGTGATATGGTTCAAAAGACTTGAAAAGATCGACTTTGTCAATAGACGCATCCCACTGGGAAATTCAAACATGGCGGTTTGATGCTCACTTTTTCAGAAAATCCTAAGTCCGAAATTCGTGATGCATGTATTCCACGCACTTTCGCGTCACAGAATAGGCGAGTTTCATTGTTGACAAAAGCGCGCGTTGCATGCTGGGAATTATTTTGGTCGGCGGCAAGAAACACTAATTCAACATGACGGACGGAGCGAGAAAGCACGTAAAGGGTATTGATCCCGGTTATTTATTATTAAGACAATATTTAATTATTAAGACGATTTCACCAGAAATTGGTCATAAGCATCGATGGAGCCAAATCACCCTTTTCAACCCCGACAAAAGGTGGACCAAACCAAATTTCTGGTCGGAATCGCCAACTACCTGGACAAATATTTCACTTTGGGCGATATCCACAATGACTTGGTGGAAACTCCTGGGCCATTCACAGCAGAAAAGTTGAAAACCTCCAAGAGTCTCGATGTGTTGTTGAACTTGTTGGAGTCCACGGTTTGTTAGGATCTTCTACGTTTGCTCTGCGGATGTTTGAAAGTCGTTTAATTCACCGTTAGTTGGCGGTTCTTTTCACTCAGAATACGAAAAAGACATTTTCCTTCTTCCGTGCTTCTATTTGTGCATCCGATAATGCAGCAGCAGGAATTTGACCATTATCGGGGATAAATACGCGAGGTTACGCACTGTGTTTGACGCTACCGTGTTTATTGCCTCCGACCAAAATATTTCCCAGCAGCAACGCGGGCTTTTAATAACAATGACGTCAGCTGAAACTCGCCTATAAAAAGTGAAGATGAGAAGCCATTTTTGCGTCATATAAACGTAGCCATAGACTTTATAAAGAAATAGGGAGTGTGACGCCACCTATAGCATGTGGCTCCAGTCAAATGAAGCTCACAGAAGATAGCAGTTTTAGAAGCGAATTTGGAGCTGATTCCATATTAGGAATTGGACTCTATTTACAGACAAATGAGTGAAAATAGTAATGAAATAAAAACAGCAGGATCAGATTCAGCTTGAGAAAACTTTATTGGTCCCAGAGGGCGATTCATTTGCAGCATTCTCAGTCCTTTTCTCACACACACGAGCACATACAGAACGTCAGTCCAGCACAGTCTGCAAGTGGAATATATTACAATGTGAATAACTTCAAAAACACGGCCATCAGAATTGAGCAATATCATAACAGAAGCCATGAAAGAATTAGAAAAGCGGTTTGTTTTTTCGTATTGGCGTGTAACATGACAAACTAGAAAAGCCAGAGGATGGAGGGGCGGAGCCAGGAGCAGTGTTGGGAAGTAACGGAGTACAAATTATGAGTAACTGTATTCGGTTACAGTTACTGTTTCAATAAGTGGTGATTGGATTACAGTTACTTTTTAAAAATAAATGGATTACACAGCGGTATTTTCCTGTTCTCACATTTTAGGCTATATCCTTTTTTAAAACTTTTATTGCGGTAATTCCAATAATTGCCAGAAACCCAAACAGAGCGCAGTGGACGAGGTCGAGGAGCCAGTAGACCAGAGCCAACAAAAACGCATTTGTGTCTTAGAAATTCAGACATCACTTTGTATTTAAAGAAGAGAGGGCGAGGTACGCGGGGGAGTACACCGTCCACCCACTTCTCCCAACGCGAGATATAAAAAAATAACAAATATAAAATCGCCTACAAGTTAAATGTCAAACCAGAGCTACTGGCACTGGTGAAAACAACCTGCATAGGCTCATGATATCTGCACAAACACACACCTTGGTCATCGTCATCAACCTGAGAACGCACGGACCACTTCTCTTTCCGTACTGCGTAGACACTAGAACTAACACCAGGAGTAAAACCAGGACTAAACTCTAAACCAGGACGCCACTAGGACTAAACCAGACTAAACCAGACTAAAACCAGGACTAAAACCAGGACTAAACCAGGACTAAAACCAGGACTAAACCAGGACTAACCAGGACTAAACCAGGACTAACCAGGAAAACCAGGACTAAACCAGGACTAAACAGACTAAACCGGGACTAAACTAAAACCAGGACTAAACCGGGACTAAAACCAGGACTAAACCCGGGACTAAACCAGGACTAAAACCAGGACTAACCAGGACTAAACAGGACTAAACAGGACTAAAACCAGGACTAAACCAGACTAAAACAGACTAAAACCAGGACTAAAACCAGGACTAAAACCAGGACTAAACAGGACTAAACCAGGACTAAACCAGGACTAAACAGGACTAAAACCAGGACTAAACCGGACTAACCAGGACTAAAACCAGGACTAAACAGGACTAAAAACCAGACTAAACCAGGACAGGACTAAACCAGGACCAGGACTAAAACCAGGACTAAAACCAGGACTAGGACTAAACAGGACTAAAACCAGGACTAAACCAGGACTAAACCAGGAAAACCCAGGACTAAACCAGGACTAAATCCAGGACTAAACCAGGTCTAAACAATATGACACTAACAGTAGGGTGAACATACTTTAACGCAGCAGCGATCTCAAATAGAAAGCATTTCTCTATCAATAACATTCATATGGTTAAGGAAAGTCTGGGCTTTTTATTGTCTTGTAAGAGACAAAATCTTATGTTCAGATCCTTGTCTTTGCTTCTCTACAGAAAACAAATGTCTGTTCTTGGAGACTTGGGCTCAACAGACAATTTGAAGAGAACAAACAAGAATGTTCAGGATGTGGTTGGCACATTCATGAAGGTTTAAAAAGCATGACAATATCAAGTAATCCAAAGATCACGTTCCTCTCTTTAAGTAATTTGATAGATTATTATTATTATTTATTATTATTATATTAGTATTATTATACACCGCCATCATCCTGTGAGCCTCTAAACTAGAACTAACACCAGGACTAAAACCAGGACTAAACTAGGACTAAACCAGGACAAAACTAGGACTAAAACCAGGACTAAACCAGGACTAAACCAGGACTAAAACCAGGACTAAACCAGGACAAAACCAGGACTAACAAAACAGGACTAAACCAGGACTAAACCGGGACTAAACTAAACCAGGACTAAAACCAGGACTAAACCGGGACTAAACCAGGACTAAAACCAGGACTAAACCCGGGACTAAACCAGGACTAAAACCAGGACTAAAACCGGGACTAAAACCAGGACTAAACCCGGGACTAAACCAGGGACTAAACCAGGACTAAAACCAGGACTAAACCGGGACTAAACCAGGACTAAACCAGGACTAAACCAGGACTAAACCAGGACTAAAACCAGGACTAAACCAGGACTAAACCAGGACTAAAACCAGGACTAAAAACCAGGACTAAAACCAGGACTAAACCAGGACTAAAACCAGGACTAAAACCAGGACTAAACCAGGAAAACCAGGACTAAACCAGGACTAAAACCAGGACTAAACCAGGACTAAACCAGGACTAAACCAGGAAACCAGGACTAAAACCAGGACTAAAACCAGGACTAAAACCAGGACTAAACCAGGACTAAAACCAGGACTAAACCCAGGACTAACTAGGACTAAACCAGGACTAAAACCAGGACTAAACCCAGGACTAACCAGGACTAAACTAGGACTAAACCAGGTCTAAACAATATGACTCTAACAGTAGAGTGAACATACTTTAAGGCAGCAGTGATCTCATATGGTTAAGGAAAGTCTGGGCTTTTTATTGTCTTGTAACAGACAAAATCTTATGTTCAGATAATCGTCTTTGCTTCTCTACAGAAAACAAAAGTCTGTTCTTGGAGACTTGGGCTCAACAGACAATTTGAAGAGAACAGACAGAGAACAGAGAACAGAATGTTCAGGATGTTGTTGGTACATTCATGTAATTTAAAAAAGCATGACAATATCAAGTAATCCAAAGATCACGTTCCTCTCTTTAAGTAATTTGATAGATTATGTTACAAACTACATTTTGGGGTATGTAATCTGTAATCTGTAGGGGAATACATTTTAAAAGTCACCTTCCCAACACTGACCAGGAGACAACATCATGGACAGCGAGTTAATACGAACACTTTAAGACCAAAACGACGAGGTTCATGCAGCAGTTACAGCGAGAGGAGTTAGTTATGTCCATTTATAAATACAGTTTATTTTGTTTGTTTGAATGAGTAGTCTGACCTGTCATACGCACTTTAAGATTTGAGTCTGTTATTCAGTTTTGTAAATATCTCACCAGGTTAATACACCACATTCTTAAAATATGCATTGTTTTTGCAGGCGACATGGCTAAAACACGTCGCTTTATCGCTTTCTTGTTTGATTTTGGGGTTTTACTGAGCTCATTTTACATCGTGTGCATTTGACGTCATCTTTACCATTTCTATGACTTTCGCTGTTTCGTTTTTGTGCATTTCACAAAGGATAAATCTGAATGACATTATGTTTTGGTAAACTTAAGCCCTGCCCTCAATGTAAACAGCTTTACAGGCACCACCTTTTCAAATGTAAACTTTCAGACTTCGTATAAGAATCGTTCCCTCCGGTTTCAGCATAAACAACCGATCGCGAGTAAATGACACTTTAATAGTGGCTCTAATTGTAAGCATCGCGTGAGAAGATGACATTTAAAACCAGCTTGATTCACGAGTCACAAAAGAGCGTTTGTTTTGAATACTCTGCACCTGACTGGGAGAGGAATTCCAGCTAAGGATAAGGTCTGTGGCATTTATTGCAGGGTTAAAAATAGTTTGAGACAGGGCCCTTGTAAAGCGCATCTACAGGCTTGTAACGTGTGTGTTAACATGTGGCAGCAATATAGGCTACAGCGTGTACATTCTGTTTAGATTTTAGACGCCAACTAGTTCAGCGAGAACAAATCAAGAACAGAATGTGTGTTGTAATGTGTAAACGGTTTCCCCCGAATGTTCCACAGCCTGATCTTAAACATGTCTACAGCTCCGTGGATGCAAATCTGTGGAGAGACGAACGCGAATGCATGTTCTCCGAAGCAATATGTGTATGGAAGATCATTTGTTCTGTCAGATTTAGAATTTTAAATACAGCAGAATATTAATTTTTTGAAATTGTAAGTGTACATTTTCAATATGTTTCAAATTCAATATAAAAAATTCATCTTTTAAATATCCAGCACTGATATTTGCAAGACCTTAAATTCAACAGTCAAAATTAAGTGTCAGATTCGTGGCATGGAGATTTTCACAACAAAGATTCAAGATGCCAAAGCAGAAGCCATCGATCATGTGTGAGTGAGGAGGACAGAGGCTGTTTCCTATTGGTCGCTCTCATCTGTGGGCGGGGTTTGAGGTTTTGATGAGGCTAATTCTGACCAATCAAATTGCGCCACTGCACCATTTCCTGCTTGTTACTAACCCTGCGTTTGATTATTTTCCAACTCCCACTTGGACCTTGGATTTGACGTCACGTCCGATCTTGAAGCGTGTTATTATG